AACTCTTGACCTTGCGCTTGCCAGGCAGGCGCTTTTGCCGCTGAGCTAAATCCCCAGCCCCTGGAAAGAATATTACCAGAATATGTTAATGTTTTGCCTTCTAAATCCCACTGTTGTGCAGTGTATGTGTATTTTGACCCAAAGAAGCTTGGTGATACATTCTCTGTACCCCTAGTCCTGTAACGTGCTGCAAGCAGTCTCTGGGCTTGCCGTACTTATTTCCTGAAGATTCTTGTACAAATGATGACATTCTGTAAGCTACAGAGATGTTTGGATAGTTTGTCTTTTAAATTTAGTGAGGAAAAGGATTTTATTCTCTGTCATCTGAGGAATTAAGCATAGTCTTTCTCTGAAAATAGAACTGTCGTGCTTGTGTGTTTGTCTGCCAGGAGTAGGCAGTGTCCACATTCATCAGAGGCACCTTGCCTGTGTTGAGCTGGCTGATTGATTTTTCATGCAGGACTCAGGAGAATTGCATTTAATGGTGATCGGTGCCCACCTACCGCCTACTCCTTCATGTCATCCTAGCCTGACTTCCCCTGCTTTGAAGCAGGAGACATTGGCTGCTGGATACCTGTGTACAAAATTAATGGCCCTGACCTCATAATGTAGCAAGTGGGGAAGGCAGTTTAACCACAATCTAAATCAGTTTGCCTGACTATAATCTTAAAATGTAAGAGCATCTTGTTTCTCTTGATCCAGCCACTATTACCTGCAGAAATATATTACATGGTTTCCCTACTTGGTCATATAGCAGATTAGAGTTGTTCCTTTTTGAGCTGTTCATTTCCTTGTTAAATGAAAGCGCTGTGACTTAAATTGAGCTGTTTGTTTTACTTAAGGCAGCAAGTGGGGGTAGAGAAGAAAGGAAGTTATATTTGATGATTCGTTTGCAGAGCTCTGCCAGTGGATCCAATTAACTCTTGGCATTGAAACTAATCATTATCAGAACCTTAGTTTCTAGAATGGTCTCAGGGGGACACCCTAATCTCCAGAGCAACATTCCCTTCTCATGGGGTCAGAGTTTAGTAGTCTTTAACACAGTGGAAAGGTGGAAATATACAGGAGGGACATAGTAATGTGTAACCAGGAGGCAAGTGCCGGTGAATTGAGATTGAAGTGGGTTGGGAAGGTGGTTCCCGAGACTGAGACTTACCTAAGACTGTAGGGGTTTTTTTGTTTTGTCTTAGTTATTTGTGGGTAGACTTTGTTTCATTTCTACATTATCTTTATTTTTATTTATACATTTTATTCTGGAGCAGAACTTCAGTTTTCAACCAGACATTTAGGAAAATGAAATTCAAACAGACTTTGTTGGTGTGATGAAGGGGTTATTCTCAGAGCCATGACTTTATGTAGCTCTTTGTCTCAAAGATACACTCATCTAAATCCCTTTATCTCAGATGTGTACAGACACACACACTCAGCAAGTGTACACATTCAGGGGTCATTCTTTTTCTTTTACGTACTAAACAACAGTAAATTTATTTTATATTTAACTCAAAATGTACAAATATGCAAGTTAAAAACCAAAAGAGTTATGGTTCACCGTGGGTTTGTTAGTGTTGAGTTGGGGGTATATCTTTATAGAACTTGTTCCTTGCATCTGGTAACGTATTTTTTTTCTTTGTTTTGATATGGAGCCTCACTCTTTTGCCCCAGGTGGCCTCAACTTCTTGGGTTGAGCCAATCATCCTGCCTGAGTCTCCTGGGTAGCTGGACTACAGGCATATACCATCAAGCCTGGTAAATGTGCAACTGAAGGAAGTCATGTTGTGATATGTTTTGCAGTTTTTTCACTTAATGTCAAGGACTGCTTAAAGTACTATAATTTGACGACATTTTTTAAAAGTAGCTTTATGGTAGGCTAGAGATGCAGCTCATTGGTAGAGCACTTGCAAAGCCCTGGGTTAGGTCTTTACCACAAAACAACAACAAAACGAAACCCCATAGCTATACAATGTAGACACACTTTTATTTAACCATCTCCTCTTTTTCTTTTTGCACCAGCAATCGCACTCAGGACCTCGCGCTTGCCAGGCAGGTGCTGGGCCACTGAGCTATCTCCGCAGCCCTAACCTTCTCTTCCTAACCAACGTTTTAAACATAATTCCAATTATTTTTTGTCTGTGAAAAATAGTGCTTCAGTAAACGTTGTATTAGTGGTTCTCAGCTGGGGTGATCGCCTCACCTGGCAAGAACAGCAGGCATCACTGGTTGTTACACTAGGTGAAGGGTGCTGGCGTCTGGTACCCTTAAACATCCTATGTTGCACAGGATGTGCCATCCACAAAAAAAACCTAACCTGAACTAAACTCAGTAGTGCCACAGGTGTGAAACACCGTGGTTAGCCCACAGAGGAGACTGTCGGAGGTGCCATGGAAGTAGAACCCTTGGGTCAGTGCTCACTTTGACAGTATGTGTAGGAGAATGCATGGGGCTAAAGGTCATAAGCACTTCAGCTTTGATGGTCCTGCCAGTGTGCTAGGAGCGCCCACCAAGAGTGTGGGTGTGTACCTTCATTCTTCATCTCACCTGCACTTCGTTGAATCTCAGAATATTTCCAGGTCTGCAAGAAAATGGCATTTTATCTGTCAGGTGTATAATTACTAGTGAGTTTTGAGCTCCATTTGAGTTTATGGGCCATTTGCTTTTCTTTGAAGCAGAATTACCATCTCTTTGGGTTCCACATCCATCACTGTTTGTTGCAGACCTTCCTCTACCAAGGAGGTAAAATGCCCACAGTAACTCCTTGGTTCTCGCACTTATTTGCAGTTCGGTTTGCAAACAAAAGTGTTCAGCAGAAGTTTGCTTCTGTTCTCAAACCCTAACAGCCCTGGCCATCTTCCCCACAAACACCAGTGCAGCATCTTCGCCAAAATTGGAGAACAGATTAAGTTCATAAACCAGTGTCAGGAGAACCTTGTAAAAGCAAGGCAGATGAGCGAGATCTGCTCATACAGTGACCGGTGGCTGCTCTGTGGCAAACAAGGGATTCAGCCTTGGCCCATACTCAGCTCCTGTTTGTTTTGGCTCAGGAGAAATCCTTTCGTCTGAATCCCAGGCTCTGTGGTATGAGAGATTTGTTCTGTGGCATCTGAAAGGAGGCTTTAAGCACAAAGCTTGGGCAGAATGAGGTGGTGTCTCTGCTTGGTTGGATTAAGGGAAGAGGGAGTGTTCCTGGAATTAAAATTCATCTCTCAGGGTGACAGCTTGTCAGAGTCTCTGCTCTGGAGGGAAGTGAGTCATGTACTCTTCCCCAGTAGCCCAGTGACTTTGCAGTTGTAGTTTCGGGCCCTTGTGAATACACACTAACAGTTCTTGTTTTCCTCTCTGTGCCCGCTACTGTCAGAATCGATGTCCATCGTAAAGAGAATGCAGGGGCTGCTGAGAAGTCAATTACTATCCTCTCTACTCCGGAAGGCACCTCTGCAGCTTGTAAGTCTATTCTGGAGATTATGCATAAGGAAGCTCAAGATATAAAATTGTAAGTAAAGAGGACTAACCTATGAAAGGTGTTTGTATACTGTCTTTTTTTGGTTCTCTGTGGCACACTTCTTGGGAACTGCCAACAAGCAAAGGGAATGGAATCGTATGAACTGCAGTGGTTGGCACTATTGATTTGGTTGTGAAACGTAAAACACTTAAATGTTTCATTTTCATCCATGTTTGGATATGGAGCAAGTGTTGATAATGGGGAAGAGAGTCCAGCTGTGGAAGAAGGCAGCTGGAGGACATAGGAAAGCAACATAGGACCAAGAGGTGCCCTAGGGTTTACTCAAGGGGCAGATCTGGAGTCATCCTTTACTGAGAGCCCACTGAAGCTCTCTCTGTCTTTGTCCTCTGCCTTGCCCCAGCCCTCAAAAGCAGAGGCTGTGCAGGGCGGAAGTCACTGATTCTGTGCTGTGGTGACTGGAGATTTAGTGAGGTGTTGGAGGTGGCACTCTTAAGATCTCTTACATAGGAACTTGTGAGTGGAGGTTGGGTTCTGCACCACTCTAATGTCCAGAATAGTACTGCACTGCAAGAGGAATCCAGAATCAGCCTCTAGAGTCTAGCAGGAACCTCAACACTTAGGACTAATTTATAGAAACCTTGAAATATGTCCTAATAATGGTGTTACAGATGAGTACTATATTATAAGAATGTAATCATTTTTTAGTATAGAGGAAATTCGAGGAAAAGTCTAATACCCATTAACCCCAGTAACATTTTTAAACAGTGATATGTGTATGGTTTAGAAATTCCAAAAGATACAGAATGCAAAATGAAAGCCTCCACTTCCTGCTCATATCCTATCCCCCAAAGTGTAACTGCTGTTGATTTTCATTTCCTTCTATGCGTTGTGCATGTATTCTAGGTATGTATTTTTAAATTTTTACTAGGACTGCACTGTTTTGCCTTGTGTACATTGTGTTCTGGTTTTAAGAATGTAGATAAGAGAATCTGTCATTGAAAGTAGATATTCCCTGAAGTGAATAAAAGAAAAACCATTTTAAAAATTAACTCCTGTTCAAATACTTTCTAATGGTTTTTCACCCCCTGTATTTATTTATTCCTAGAATGTGGGCCAGTTCTCAACATGTACCTAGCATAACATTTCCTGTACGATAGGTAGGAAGTAAGTGTTTAATGAATAAATATTATCTTTTTATCCAAAAGGAAGCTAACTGTTATAATCATTTTTCTATCTATAGCACAGAAGAAATCCCACTGAAGATTTTAGCCCATAATAACTTCGTTGGCCGTCTTATTGGTAAAGAAGGAAGAAACCTTAAAAAAATTGAGCAGGACACAGACACTAAAATAACAATATCTCCGTAAGTGCTGCCTTGCTTTTGAATTAACAAACTTTCCCACATTTTTAGTCTGTACTTTTTTCTGTGTTTCACACTCCTGTCTTTCTACACCCAGCTGTTTGACTTAGATGTCATTTCTAAACTCAAGTCTGTTGCCTACTATCTGTTTTAACCCACATTGAAAGCATTGCCTCTGTCGCAAAAGAGGCAGGAGTAACTGAATGCTTTGCATTCATATTTTGTAGGTGAAGTCTTGATGATGTTTTCTGCCACTGATTCCCAAGGTTGAAATACATATTCAATCTAGTTCATTATCCTTTGCTGCATAACAAGTTATTCTGGTGTTTGACAGCCTGCATACACTGCTCAGCTAGTTTCTGTGGGTCAGGACTTGAGGACTGTGCTTCTGGCTCAAGGGCTCCTAATGCTGCTGGCTGCTGCTGGCTGCTGGGGAGGCCTCCACTCTTCACCAGCTAGGCCTCCAGAGCTCTCAGGTGCATGTTTGCAAGCAGCAGCTGTGTCTTCTCCCGGACGGAGAGGTCCAAAGCACAGCAGAGTGGAAGCAGCATTATGGCAGAGCCGTGGAAATGACACTGTCATGTTGCCGACACTGCTTCAGGGGTCAGCCCTGTTCAGTCTGTGCAGGGACTGCGGTGAACTCGAAAGAAGATTTCATCTTGGAGGTAGCTGCCACACCTAGAGTCCACGAATGCTCTGAAACTACGTGGAAAGGATTTTCTTTTCTGAGTGTGACTATCCTTAGACTCTGTAGAGTCCCCAAAAAGGTGGGAAAAGACTGAGGGACTGAAAAAGAATGATACAATTATAATCCAAAGTGCTTGGCAAGCTGGAGGACATTGGGGATGTGTCTCTTTAAGTGGTCTCAAGTGAAAAGACTTCACTTTATAGACTTCATTTTCTTCATTGTGTAGTAGTTTTACATTTTTAGCAAGTTTGAGAAAGAGTTAAGGAATAATACCCCATTCTTCTGACTCAAGGTTTGTCTCTAACATTTTGCTAGTAGTGAAAATAGTGATTTTGACTCTTAAGAATATAGAGGAAGGCTGTGTTGATAGACTTTGTCCTTTCAGTATATGTTCTCAACTGTGTTTCTTTCTCATGACTTTTCCTCCAGAGTTGCTCACTTCTGTAGGCTTAGGTGTTCTCAGAATTGTTAGTGGATTTTGAAGCTTTGCCAGGACCTGGGTTAAATGAATCTGTCTTTTTTTTTGGGGGGGTGGGTACCGAGAATCAAACTCTGGACCTTGTGCTTGCCAGGCAGGCACTTGTGCTGCTGAGCTATATCCCCAACCCTTCTTTTCTTTCTTTTTTTATGTTTTTAAAAATTTTTTATTGGTACATTTTAGGTATACATAATAGTAACATTCATCACAGGGAATGTGTCCCTATACATGATATGTCTTGCTACCTCTCCCTACCCGCTCCTTTAACTCTTCTTCCCCTGCTTATGGGAGTCTTTTTTTGTACTCTAAATGGTCGTCAATGGACTATTTTTATTTTTATTTATTTTGTGGGGGGCGGTTTCCGGTACTGGGAATCGAACTCACAACCTTGCACTTGCCAGGCAGGTGCTGTGCGGCTGAGCTAAATCCCCAGCCCCTAATGGACTATTTTTAAAATGTAGTTTGAGTGGAACTCTGTGTGTTGGCACATGCCTGTAATCCTAGCACTCTAGAAGGCTGAGGCAGGAGGATTGAAAATTCAAACCCACTTTGGGTAATTTAGCAACGGAAGGAGAACCTGTCTCAAAATAAAAAAAGGTCTGGAGATGTAGTTCATTGCAAAGCCTTGGATTCAGTCCAGTACCATAAAAGAGAAAGAAGTTTAGTTGAGGTGGATTGATTTATGTTATTTCCCCCAGCCTACTACAATCTAAATTCTAAAAATATTTTAAGTTGAGGAACATGAATTCTGGATGGGTTTTTGGGAATGATTCTGTGTGTCTTCCTTCCTTAGTGTCCAGAAAATGCAGGTGCATGAGTTTAAACCAAAACTGTACATCCTTCTAATCAGTCCATTTTATTTTATTTTATTTTATTTTATTTTATTTTATTTTATTTTATTTGATTGATTGATTGATTGTGCCAGGAATCAAACTCAGGACCTTGTGCTTGCTAGGCAGGTGCTTGTGCCACTGAGCTAAATCCCCAGCCCCTAAGACATGCATTTAATTAAACTAAGTACACAGTAATTTTTGATGGGGTGGAAGTGAAAATATTTTCTTCTTGCAGCTTTTACAATTTTTGGACTTACGTCTTTTGGGGATTTCTCATTTCCTATCATGTTTGACCACTCACTTTTACATGCCCATTAACAGACTTTGGTTTTAATTGCCATCTGTGGCTGAATTATTGACTTTCTTCCTTCTATAGTTTCCATTTTTTCCCCTTCTCTTCTTATTCAATCTGCAGATTACAGGAGCTGACGCTGTACAATCCGGAGCGCACCATTACTGTTAAAGGCAGTGTTGAAACGTGTGCCAAAGCTGAAGAAGAGATAATGAAGAAGATCAGGGAATCTTATGAAAACGATATTGCTTCCATGAATGTCAGTTTTAAATGAAGGATGTGTCCATTTTGATAAGTAGTTAAAAGATGGTTTTTATTGCGTTAATGTTAATTTCTTTAGTGGTGACATGAGAAGTGGTTTTAATGGATTTTTAGTTTTAGCACCATACGAAGTCCCTGGCATAGAAGGGAAGACAGTCTGACATTAGCTTGTAGGCGGTGGCTTCTTCATGTGTGAAGAAAGCCTGGAATCTAAAAAAAAAAAAAAAAAGCCAGCCTGGAATCTGCCTATAAAAGGTTCATATCTCCCTTATGTTAATCTGAGGGACTTTAGGGTAAATGTGGGCTTTAGAGGTCTGTGAACTGGATTTGAACCCCAGCCCAGTGATTTGTAAGCTATAGCTTTGTTCTTTTGGACAATTTACTCAGTTTCTCTGAGCCTTTTTTCTCATCTGTGAATGGAGCTACAATTTATCTTGCATGCCTACTAGAACTACAATAGCTAAAATGTATATAAAAGTTACTATTAAAAATCTAAGTTTAGGGGCTGGGAGTGTATGTAGCTCAGCGCTAGAGCACTTGCCTATCATGTGCAAGACCCTGGGTTTGATCACCTAGCACCACAGAATAAAAATAACACTGGGTTTAAAACTTACCTGGTTACTTACATAAAGTAGAGATATGAGACAATTTCAAATGATAACCCGGTAACCTTAGCATTCAGGAGGCTAAGGCAGGAGGACCACCATGAGTTCAAGGCCAGCCTGGACTACATAGTAAGACCTTGTCTGAAGAAAGAAAAAGTGGGGTGGGGGAAAAGAATTTGAAGTGACAAAACAGTCCATGTAGTATATCTAAGGCCATTAGAGCAAATTACTGACATTTTTCAGTGGATGGAACGGTGCTGAAAATGGAAGCTTCAAAAGTGCGTCTTGCCCAGTGTGGTCATGCATGCCTGGAATCCCAGCACTACGAAAGCTGAGGCAGGAGGATTGCCATGAGTTGGATTTCTGTCTAAGCTACATAGTGAGCTCAGGCCTAGCCTCCATTACATAATGAGACCTGGTCTCAAAAAAAAAAAAAAAGAATGCATCTTAAATTTTGAAGTAAATGATTTAGTCAAACTGTTTAGTGGGGGACCTGTTGGGAAACTAAACCTGAGAGAAAGGAAATGTGAAAGTGTCACCTTTGTGAAAAGAGCTACAGTGCTGATTCTAAAGGAGCTGACTGTGTTTCACGCCTGTAAGACCTGTGAGTGCCTAGTTTTGCCAAGGAGTTAAGATCTCTTCATAGGTCCTTCTGTGTCCTTGGTATACTTTTCAAAGAGCAAACCTTGTTCGCTTACCCGCGGTGCGCAGCGCAGTTTCCGTCCCAGCGCTGAGCTGGTGCTGGGGGTAGCAGGGGTGCCCTCTGCCCTCGAGGCCCTGCAACTGCAGCTGTGGATCAAGGCAGCGGCAGACCATCTCACAGATTTAAAAATACCAAGAGATGGAAACTATTCAAGTATAGTCCCTTGGAACATCTGCCTTGTAAAATTTGAATCACGATACAGTTTTTTTATTCATCCTACAAGGTCATGATCTGAATGCTGTCACTTAGAAATATTCACTTTCCCTTGATTCTTCTAATGTCAAATTAAAGGCCCTTCTTACCGTTGCAGCTTCAAGCACATTTAATTCCTGGTTTAAATCTGAATGCCTTGGGTCTGTTCCCACCCACTTCAGGGATGCCGCCTCCCACCTCAGGGCCCCCTTCAGCGATGACGCCTCCCTATCCACAGTTCGAGGTAAGATCGCCAGCTTGGCTTTCTTTGCTGTTGAGAGGGATTCGTCAGACTTCATTGCCCCCTAGTTGTGTGACACTGGGTGCTAATTGTGGAAAACCTTAAGGCAGAGCCTTGTGCCCACCTGATCTCTCCTAGTGAGTGAGAGTCAGTGAGTTCCCCGTTCTTGTCAGTAGAACCTGCCCATCTGATCCAAGTCAAAGTAAAAGGCACAAGTTATGTTGAAGATTTTAGATTTTCAACATCTACATGGTAGAGTGATCAGCATGAGGTTCTAAATATAAGAAGATATAGTGAGACCTTATGTCAAGACACAAAAACAGATAGTTTGTGACTTCGAAGGAGGGCAGGGGAAGTTGATTATTTTTAAGCATTGAAGGAAAGGATTTTATAAGTGCTCTCTTCATCTTTGTCACCTGCTTTGAAAGGTCAGGAAAGATCAGACATGGTTTCCATTTTGAGTGTTTATGCTTTTTAGATAGCTAAGATAGTTTCGTTCACAATTCTGATAGTGTGTGGGCATACATGTGCACACATGTCTGCAAACATTATAAATTTGTGCTAGAAATAAATCTTATGTTTATGTCTGTCCTTTAACAGTAGTATTTTCCCTAAGGTCAGAAATAGGAAACAAGGGGTAGTATAAAAATAATTGCAACCCAGCAGACATTTGACACAGTAAACAATTTTGAAAGTAGTTCATAACTCAGTTGCATTATTAAATCAACACCAATTGGTGGTAGGCTCATGTGAAATAAAGGCAACGACGTTGTGGAATTTTCTGTCATGAATTTGGTTGTACATCCCTCCTATCTGGTTTGATTGTCTTATATTTTGAGTGGTACCTCCTATACTAATTCAGGGAATGACCAAGTGGAAAAAGTTGAGGATTCCCCTGTATCATTGCCTAGAATAAATGTGTGAATTAAAGCACTTTGAAATTCTGCAGGGAACACTTGATACTCATTCTCATTCTGTGTCTCTGCCTCTGCCTGTGTCTCTGTTGAACTCTATTCACTGTGTAGCCCAGAGTGGTCTTGAACTTGCTGCGACCTTCTTGCCTCAGCTTCCCGAGTGTGCCAGGTGTGCGCCAGCATGCCTGGCTTGTTTATCTCTTAGGAATAGAATTTCCTTTCCTCATCCTGCAATGTACCAGGCTGATAGATGGTCTGAGTTCTTGCCCTCTTTCAGTGTGTATTTCTGCCTTTACTGTCAGCTGTCCCTGTGTCTTCCCTTGGCCATTTCTAAGTATGCTTGGGCCTGGGAAACATGTAACCCGTCTGAGGATAGTCACCAGTATTTCAGTTACATAGAAGCTGGGTATAGTAGTGCATGCTTGTCCCAGGTCTGAGGATAGTCACCGATATTTCAATTAAATATAAGCTGGGCATAGTAGTGCATGCTTCCCCAAGCTACTTGGGAGGCTTGGGCAGGAGGATCACTTGAACCCAGGAGTTCAGAGCCAGCTTGGATCACATAGCAAGACCTCACACAGAATTTGAAGCTAGTTTTGAGTATGAAGAGATTCATTATGCCTCATTGCAAGCGCACCAGCACAGGTAAAAGCCATTTGGAGTAGCTGGTGTGTTTGAGCTTTGATGCTAAAGAGCCTGGAGTCAGCGCAGGTGTAGCTCCTGCCCTGAGCTTGTGTCACAGCGGGGCAGACGACTCTTGGCTTGGGGTCTGTTTTCTTGCCTGAATGAGAAACCTGATCTTGAAAGACTTCTCGGGGCAAACATTTCTAGTGTCTATAGAATTCAATAATATGAAAGTTGGGGGCAGAGGTAAAGCCTAAAGTCGGTATTTGAGAGTATGTGTACTTAAATTCCAATATATCCACTAGTTTCTGTATTACAATTGGACACATTTGTCACACGGTTGGGTTTAGGGAGAGGTGCCCATGGCACTTCTGTGTACAGTGACATTTTGTCAGAAGCTCCAGTGGCTGAGTAATGTAAATCTGCTAGGGAAGTTCACACGGGTGTAACACGCCTACCGTCCACCCCACCGGCTGCCCTGTGCCCGGGGCATTCACTGCTGTGTACCCGCACTCCAGCTCATGAGGCACTCCTTCAACTCCTGTCTGTTGGTGACAGACTCCAGTCAGCAAAACCTCTGACATGACAGTGGTAGCCTAACTGGCTTTCCTGGACATCTATCTTTCACATTTGTGTGGATGCTTATGTAGCAAAAATTCCTACAGTGGATGGCTAGTTAACTCTTTATAAAATCTAGAAATAAAAGATTATGGATAGGGGCTGGGGATTTAGCTCAGCGGCACAGCGCTTGCCTGGCAAGCGCAAGGTTGTGAGTTCGATTCCCGGTACCGGAGAAAAACCAAAAAAAACAAACAAAAAAAAGATTATTGATAGTCTCGAGATTTCGTCAGCTGTCTGATTCCATTGTATGGTTCTGTTGAGTTCCTGTGTTGTTAGAAACATGAAGAATATTTTAAGAGAAGTGGGATCCTGTATTAAGAATTCATATTTCCAAAGCAGTCTTAAATGTTGGAGTGATTTGTAGCAGGTGTATGTTGGTTTGAAGTGATACTAATTAGGATTGAACCCAAGGCCTTTGCACTGAGCTATATCCTCAGCTGTCCTTATTTTTCTCTTTTAACAGAGGACCTCCCTAAGTCACTAACTTGCCCAGGCTGGGCTCGAATTTGTGATCTTCCCGCCTCAGCCTCCCGGAGTGTTGGGATTACAGGCATGCGCCAGACCTGGCAGGGTTTTTTTTCCTTAAGAATAGAGGAGGCCAGTGATGTTACTTCTTCTACTTCAGTGAGCCAAGAGTAAACGTAAAGTGGATCTTACGGGAATAGGTTGATCTTTGCTTCTCTTTACACACTTAAGTCAAATTAGGTGCAATTGGAAGCAGCCAATGAGAACACAAGACTTAGGTTTCAAGGACGGGCAAAGGAAGTGCTGGTTCTCACAGGGGCAAAACATGCACAGTGAGACTCTGTTTTCTTTGCAGTACTAGTGGGCATTGTACTTTACATCTGTATGCTTTTGGTAAAATGGAATCCTTGAAATTAAACTTGGACGTTGTCACCAGATGCCATCTGACCGCTGCCCCTTGGGGCTCTTAACTCGCCCTGTGGAGTAGATTCTTGAGTCATCAACAGGAAAGAGGAATTTCAAACCTGTCAGTGTGAGGCCGGGGCAGATTTATTAGGCAGAGTAAGGCAGGAAGAGGAACCAGCGATGCCTCTGTCCGGCCCTTCCCCATGGGGGTCCAGTGCAGAGGGGCTTGGATGATTGCAGTGTAACTTCACAAAGACCGTGTTCTGTGTAAGGCAGTGACTAATGCTGCGCTTCACAGAAGATTGCCAACAATGAATGCAAAAGAAGAAGGAAAGGAAAACAGTGAGGTATGACTTGGGCAGATGTCAGCGATGAGTACAGAACTCTGAGGGCGAGGACTGTAGAGGAGACGCACAGGCGATGCTTCTGAAAACCTCCGGGTGCCTCAGGCGTGTAGCCAGGGCTCACAGCAGCTGCTGCGTGGCCTACGGGGGTGAGAGCCTGTGCCCCACTTCGTGAACCAGGTGACTCAGATGTGTGTGGGGAGCAGCGAGGAGACCTTTTATAAAGGTTGTCAGGAGTCTTTTGCCACCGTTCAATGTCAGAACTACTGTTCTACTGTGAGGAATGTTTACCCGTCTGGAGAGGGGACCTAATTATCAGAAAGGATATTTTCTCTCAACACCAATGTGTGTGAGAGGTTTGGGATGAGTGTAAACACCAACCACTGGTGTGTGTCCCTCTTTCTTCCTTGTTGTGTTTTATTTGAGGGTTGTTTGAAAAAACCAAAACCAAACTTTTGTCTCTGGAGCACCTGTCATTCCAGCTAGGCATATCTAGAGGCCAACAGACCTCTGTGGGATGCTGCCATCTGTCTGTTTTTGCTCTTCTGAGTCTGTTTTGGCACACAGATGCATCAGGATGTGGTTTGACTGTGTTAAGAGGGGAAATAGCTTCCTGAGTTCTCCCCTTTCATGGGAAGACTACAGGGGTAGACAGTCTGCAGCTGTCGGTGGTTCTGCCCACCTTCTAGGACTCCTGCCCCTGCTGCCTCACATGCAACCCCTTGGCCCACAATGCTGCTTGAGCTCCAGCCACTGTTTGCAGCCAGCAAGAAGCATAAAGGATCAAAACTTGATGGCAGCATTATTTGGGACAATGCCTGAGGGTAGCTGTTTGTACTTCCACTGGCATTGTGTTGGCCAGAAAATAAGGCTTGGCCTTGTCTAGCTGCAAAGGAAGCAGGGAAACCGCCTCTACCGCAGCACCAAAGTACCCATTAAATACAGGGTCTATCACTAAAGAAGAATAGATGTGTTGGACTATTCCCTGCTGGACTCAGCATTGTTACCTGTTAAAGAAACCTCGCAGGAGTCCAGAGTGGTGGGTGGGACAGACCTGCAGCCCCAGCATTTTGGGAGGCTAAGGCAAGAGGATCATAAGTTTGAGCCCAGCCTGGGCAACTTGATGACTAAGTAATACCCTAGCTCAAATAAAAGGGCTGGTGAAGGCTCTAGTCTAATCCCCAGTGCCCCAACCCACCACCAAAAAGGAAAGAAAGGAAACCTCCCAAGCTCCTAAGTTCTTTCAGAAAAAAGGAACTATAAGGGCTGGGGATGTAGCCCAGTGGTAGAGGACTTGCCTCGTATGTGCAAGGCCCTAGGCTCAATCCCCAGCACTGCCAAAAAAAGAGAAGGAACTACAGATTCTGTAGGAAAAAAGTCCATGGTTGTCTTGGTTACTTTTTTCTCGTTGCTGGGACAAAATACTTTACGCCCAAAATTAAGGAAGGAAAGATTTATTTCGCTTACAGTTTGTGGAGGTTTCAGTCCATACTTGGCAGATTATAAGGCAGAGTGGCACATGGCAGAGGGCTACAGCTCATGGCAGCAGAACACAGTAAAGCGACAAGAGCAAAAGAGAGGAATGGCCTCAAGCACCCTTTTCCTCTCCCTTACATAATGCAAACTATCC